CGTCTTCCTCTCCAGGAAAAAAGGGCGATCGTGGGCATACAGTTTCTCCTTTTGGTGAAAGCCGGCAAGGCCGTGGTTTCCTCCTCCTCTGCTCGCTACTGCAACGGCGGGTGGAGGAGGGTGTCTTGTTTCTTTCCTGTGTTTTTTTCATAGGTGGAGTTAGTCTTTTGTGTGATGCCACCAGAAGGATGAGAACGGCGCTGTGTCGAGTAAAGTTGCCTCGGTGTCCTCCTCACCATGACGACGTTCTCAATGACGGCGTTGAGAAGCCGATGGCCTCATCCTCTCACTGCCTAGTCAGGGTGATGAGATTGGGTCTTCTTTTCCTCTCCGGCAGTTGTTGTTTTCTGTAGTGGTGTCAGAGGCTGGGTGACGGTGTAATACACTACGGGTGGCCACCGGAGTCCGGCAGCAGGCCCGTCTTGGGGCCCATTAATCTCGACGAAGACCTAACCACAAGAGGAATCCTCGGAGCTCGGATAAACGACAAGGGTCATCTTGGCGAGCAAGCCAAGATGGCGGCAGCTTAGATCGGATCGATCTCCTATAAAACCCTAGCCCTTGTCATCTATATAAGGTGGGGCTAGGGATAGCCATTGCCATCTATATTCGTAGAATCATACTCTCGCATGAGGTACTCCACCGTGAATACAAACCAAAAGCAGGAGGTACAATGATACTCTTTCCCGGAGGATAGAGTCTGAGTAACTTCCTCGTGTGATCTCCGATCAGGTACTTCAGACCATGGTCGCTGCCCTACGGGGGTACTGATGGGTTTATGCACCGTCACTTGGCATGCCAGGCATGAGCCTTGTCAACGGCCCAATTGAGGGCTCGGGTTTTAGCTCTCCTCTGATACAGGAACGACCCCGGAAGCCACAAGATGAGGGAACCGTGACGCGCAGGCCCGAAGACCTTCCCGAACCGTGATGCAACGAGAAGCTGTGAACCCGTGGGGCTCGGGGATGAAGACTTGCAAGCACCACTAGGACACGCAACATGCAGGCCCGAAGACCTCCCCGAAGTCGGACTCACGAAAGCAAGCAACAAGGATATGGGGAGCCCGCTTGGGCTCTAAGAGATCGAGGCGCTTCAACCCAAAACATGCTCAGGGGCTACTGGCGGTGTAATACACAGGGGGTGGCCACTTGGTGGGAAGCCTGGCAGCAGGCACATCTCAGGGCCCATGAAGCTCTGCGAAGACCTAACCACATGAGGAATCCCCCGGATAAACCACAAGGATCATCTTGGCAAGCAAGCCAAGATGGCGGTGGGTTAGATCGGATCGATCTCCTGTAAAACCCTAGCCCCCATCATCTATATAAGGTGGGGGCTAGGGAAGGTATCTACATATGTAGAATCACACTCTCAGTAGTCTCATACTTCATCCTCCATTGTAACCCCCGCACGAGGTACTCCACCATAAATACATACCAAAAGCAGGACGTAGGGTGTTGCTCCTTCCTGGAGGCCCGAGCCTAGGTAACTTCCTCGTGTGATCTCCCATCTGGTACTTCCGGCCACGTTTGCCACCCTATCAAGAATAATGACGGGTTTATGCACAGTCACTGGGACGAGATGGATTTCCTAAAGCGGGATTCATGGGACGACAAATTGTGGATTTGGCACTCTTCCCCAACTACATCAATGGGATGTGGTGGATTCGGGTCTAGCTTAGCATGGGGATGTTCCCCAGTCGACGTGCCATAGCGACATGTGATGTGCAATGGTGTCATCGACTCAGAAAGCCATTATGGCGATGGTGTTTCCCTAGATTGTGCGATGGTGGAAATTTTGCTTCTTCTCCGACTAGCGCCTCAGTGGCGTTGGATTTTGATTGCAAGTGTTAGTTTCGGTGTGTGCATGAATCCTTGTGGACCTCCGTGTGTTCTTTCATGCCTTGGATCCTCTTTGCATAGTTTTCAGGACATTTGTCAACTCCTAGTTTCTTTACTTGTTGTCGCGTATGTTTGTACATGTATTCTAATTGTTGATTAATGATATGCACGGTTTACTAAAAAAGATAAAATGGTTATTAGTCCCTTGAAAAAAGGTTGCTATTAGAAGCATTAGTTAATTTAATTTCGCTAACCTGGATTTGTCTAATTCCTGGGTATTCCTTAAAAAGATGGGATCACTTTGATTTGTAGTGAAATTCCCTCAATAATCAAAAGGCGAATTTTCATTGGCAATAATGTGGTGCGAGTGATCTCGACATTTGGGTGCACTCTAAATGCACCATGTGGTGTGTTTCTTCCTGAGAATTACTTCCTCCGTGACTAATATAAGAGCGTTTAAATTGTAGTGATCTAAACGCTCTTATATTAGTTTACGGAGGAAATATTGTTTACTTCACATTCTCGAACATGATAATTTTCTGTTTACCCAATTACAACACAATTATGGTGTGATTGTATTATTTCAAACAAATGATCTGTCTAGGTATCGGTGGGCCGAGATCTTCTTAATTCTCTCGATATAGAAGTGCAACCTTTTTGTTTTCGGGAATGATATAGAAGTGCAACTTGCGCTTTCACTAAACTAAAATTGCATGTTCGGAATTGATAGACCGAGACTTAAGAATTCCCAGTTGATTGAGACTCAGCAAAACATTTTGTTATCAGAAGAAGAATGCCACGAAGGTCATGCAGTGACAATATGATTGTTGTCTGATGCATCGTGCCGCTTGTGAGGAGTGAGACACGAGAAGGAGCGATCTCCAAAGATGGCCATTTGGCCACACTCCACAGCACAAAAGGCTAAGAAGACTCAGGCCTTGCTCTGACCGTCCATCCGCGATCACGCGGTCCAGCTTTCTCGTGGCGGGCATATAATACTTGGCGCCAGCAATGTGCAGCACATACCAATACGCACGCCCGCACGTACTTACAAGCCGGCCGGCCGGCCATGTGCCCCACCACCGCCCCGGTGACCGGCGCTGGCATGGACGACACCGTCCTTGCAAAGCTTCGTGCCTCGCGAGCCGCCATCGTCTCCGCGCTTTCCGACGCTGCCGGGGCGGAAGCTGCCATCGACGAGGCCGGCGACCGCCTCACCGACCTCCTGTCCAGCGCCTCTTCGCCGTCCTCCTCCAACCTCCAGTCCAAGGCCGTGGCGGCGCGTGCACTGCGCGCGCGCATCGACCGCGCCGTCGCCCCCGCCGAGCCACTCCTCGCGGCTCTGCGCCGGGTGTCTTCCCTCGCCGAGGAGGCCGCGCAGCTCCCGGAGAACCCGGCCGACACCGAGAGCGCCGTCGCCTTCGTCGACCGCGTGGACCAGATGCGCGACGCCATCGAGGACGTGGTGGCGCGAGGGGACGAGGCCGTCCGGAGGGTCGAGGAGGCGGTGGGGTTCCTTGGCCGCACCACCACCAAAGCCGCCGGCCGCGGTCGGGTGCGGCGGCTCACCGAGGCGGCCTCCGCGCTGCGCGCCGTGTACGAGACGGAGGCGGAGGCGATGCGCTTCGAGGGCCCGCTCGACGAGGCGCTGCTCGGCCTCCAGGATCTCTTCGAGGCGGTCCTGCTCAGGCTCAAGCACGCCGCGCCCGAGGACGATGCCGGCGCCGTGGGAGAAATGGACGAGTATGAACTCGGCACGGACGGCGAGGTGGACGCCGCCGCGAGGATGGCCAAGACGCTGGCCGGCAACGACTGCCTGGACATCTGCGTCGACATCTACGTGAAGGCGAGGTACAGGAGAGCGGCCAAGGCGATGATGCGGCTGGACCCGGCGTACCTCAAGGCTTACACGGCCGAGGCCATCGACGGCATGGAGTGGGAGGCGCTGGAGTCCTCCATGGCGCTGTGGAGCCCGCACTTCCACGTGGCCATCGCCTCCGTGCTCACGGCGGAGCGCCGTCTGTGCGCGCGGGTGCTCGCGCACCTCCCGCCGGCGGTCTGGCCCGAGTGCTTCGCCAAGATCGCCGCGCGCATCGTGGCCGCGTTCTTCCGCTTCGCCGACGGCGTGGTCGCGGCCGAGCGGGAGCCGCAGAGGCTGTTCAAGCTGCTGGACATGTTCGACGCGGTGGCACGGGAGAGGGAGCGCCTCGACGCGCTCTTCTCCGGCGAGTCGGCAACGCTGGTCGCCATCCGCGAGCGAGCGAGCGAGGTGGAGCGCGCCCTCGCGCGCGCCGCGGCCGGCGTGTTCTACGAGTTCGGCCTCCGCGTTGAGACGCACTACATCGCCGGCGCCGGCGCCGGGAACGACGCCGTGCACGTGCCCAAGATCGTCCGCTACGCCGTGAACTATCTGAAGTGCCTCGCGTCCGACGACTACCGCGGGCTCATGGACACCGCGCTGCGAGCGGAGCGCGAGCGCGGCGGCGGCGGCGACGACGGCGATGAGGACGGAGGCGAAACGGGGAGCGGGGGAGGCCGCGCGGCGCTCGCGGAGGCGGCGTCGAACGTGCTGGAGGCGCTGCACCGGCACGTGGAGGCGGCGCGCAAGGTGAGCGCGGACGCGGTGGCGGGGCACGTCATGGCCATGAACGCCTACTGGTACATATACATGCGCACCCGGGGCAGCGACCTGTCGAAGCTGATCGGCGAGGAACCCATGAAGCGGCGGTACAAGACCTCGGCCGAGGAGGCGGCGTGGGAGTACCAGGACGTGGCGTGGAGCCCGCTGGTCCGGCTCCTCGGCGGCAGCGGCGGCAAGGCGTGGCCGGCCGACGAGGCGCGGGAGAAGGCGGCGGCGTTCGCCGGCGTGCTGGAGGAGAGGGTGAGGAAGCACGGGGCGGAGTACAAGATCCCGGACGGCGACCTCCGGGCGCAGATCAAGGCCGCGGTGACCAAGGCCGTGCGCGGCGCGTACGCCGGGTTCGTGAAGGCGAACGAGAAGGCGGTGGCCGGCGGGAGGCGGGAGCTCCTGCAGGTGGACGTCGTCGAGAGCATGGTGAGGCGGGTGTTCGAGGAGATGGGCGACGCTGAAGCCGGCGGCAAGAGCATGGGCCGGACGAGGAGCAGCGGCCGGGTACGGCGGGAGAGCGGCAATATCGAAGGGTTTGAGGCCAACTGAAGTTGTTACAGCCTACAGCACGCACGCCATGGATTGCCACACAGTCAAACTTCAGCGTGGAATAATATTTTTGCATGAAGGTTTTTGTTACTACTACCAATTACTGTAATCTGCAATAAATCACAGGCCATTTTCTTCTCATTCAATCCAGTGAATGGATGATGTTTTACCACACAACTGGAGATTTAAGCAAGCAACCAAGCCATTACATTACCAAGCAGTCAAGATACACACATGTATCACACATACAAGCCAAACCACTGGAACTATACATATTTTGCACACGGCTACCAACTACTAGTACAGTGTGGATAAGCACACCCTAACATATCCACACTCTAACATAGATACACTGGTGCGCACAGAATAAACCTTGTGCCTAGCACCTCCCTACACTGCCTAAGCAAAGTCACGTATGTACAATCTTCCTTGCTGGAGTTCCATGTTTTGTTAGCACTTTGAAGCACCGCGGTTCCAAGTTATGCTTTCTTCCTTGCTGATGAATTTGGCGGGGGTTGAGGCGCCTCCAATGCCTAGGAGTCGCACTCGGCATCTCCTGGAAGGATTATTATAGGATTAATTAAGACACTTCAAAACACTGGAGCTGAAGCAAAGCACTGGGAAGATTAACTGATTCATCGTGAAGTATCGCTAGTTCAAGAGGCTCACCTTCACCGCAAAGCTGCTCGACTCGGCTCGCGGTATGTTTGCCATAGGTGTACTTCCTCAGTGCTTGCAAGTGACCCTTTACACGGCTGACCAGAAGTTCCCGCTGCTCATCGTTGCATGTTTCAAGTATCTTCTGAACAACATAATTAGCATACTGATCCTTCATCATTGCCTAATTGCATAGCAAGTGGTTAGCAAATGAACTCACAGGAATTTAATAGTGAACAAGCTTAGAATCTAGAATCAACGGAATCAGTAACAATAGACGGTACAAAGATACAGGATTCCTCAGTCAGGCTTGGAAATGTAACTCTCACTGCTAAATTGTCATTATCTGATTCCACATGGGATAATACTGCCTACTTCAGACTTAAGACTTGTACCGCGGAGCATTACTGCCTTCAAATTTATCAGCCAAAAAAGGAGGGAAACAAAAGGGATGGAAACATTGCGTTAAAGTGTCAAATTATCATACATACCAGCAAGGTATCATTTCCGTCAGTCTGCTCCACAATCTCTCTGATTAGAAGATCTCGTTCCGCAATATCTCCATGTTGGAAACACTTCTCTATCACATTTGATGCAAATTTATTTTGGCTCATGGTGACAACCTGCCCAGCCAACTTACTGATAATTTGAGCCCTTTCATGACTTTTTCCTTTTTCCACAACATGCTGCAAAAGAGACGGAAAAAAGAAATAAGCTGATATATTATGACGTAAAGTAGCCAAGGGCACTTCACTCACATCATCTGGTATCATAGAACTCCATAGCATATTCTTTTGCGACAAATGAACCAAAGGCAGGTCATAACTGGCGATGTATTTTGTGTTTACTACAGCCACTCAGTCAGTTTATAAATCAACAACTACTGGGCACTTTTTAGAATTTGGCAAAAGATATGGAATCAAATTGCAAATAATTTCACCTGTGTGACATAGTTGCCATACTGGTCTTGTGCGAGGATGCAAGCGGACTGCAATATTTCATCTATTATGCACTGACCTCGTGAATCACCACCACAATGCTCCAAAACTCTCTGCAGACAAGTGTATGGATTGAAGGGAGAAAGAAAGTCAGTGTGACAGGATCAAGTAGCAAATTCGTATCAAGCATTATTCTGGAGTCTGAACCCACCTGAATAACACGGCAACCATATGGATGCATTGAAAGGCTAGCAACTTGTCCCCGAAAAGCAGATACTACAAAACCAATATGTTCCGTGGGGACACACTCTATGCACTTCTGTATAACATGATTCCCATTTTGGTCACGAACACATCGCATAATATTTCCATCAAGCTCGCGGACCAGATCTATTTTCTGGTCAAGTTCCATAACTTCCAGAGCCTGCATATTATAGAAGAGAATTAAACAAGCAAAAATTAATAATAACTACAGGACACATCAGATACTATGGCGTATGCTGGTTGCATCCAGAATTCCTATACCGTGCCAACATGTAACTGCCAGGTTACACACTAATTTACATAGCAGATTACACACTAATTTCTACTTGTTATTTTGAATTTCCTAAGTAAATTTTCCAATCATACTGATTGCAAGCAGAAAAATATAATGTTCTCACGTACTGCCAACTACAGGTATACTTCAACCCATTTCTCTTAATTTCCTGATTACTCTAGCTCTCTTCAAAGCTTTCTACAAGCTGGTGATAACTTGATGAGATTTTCTTTACAAAATTGCATTTACCTCTCTTTGCACATTATCCCTGAAATCAGAAGTTTTATCTGACTGGACACCATATTTAACTGATGTTACATGTCAGATGATCTAGTGAGGTAGCTTAATCTCAAAGGGTACACTCTTAATCCACAAGTTGGAACCAAACTCAAACTCTCAACCCTAGTTCTGACAAATCCTTATCTCTAATATAGCAATTGTCACTATTGTATTTTCAAGGCATATGATGTTGCCTGCCTTGGAGCTGTCATATCAGCCTTGGCCCATAAACAACCCATGATTATGTCAACACACTGAAATGGTGGAATAAGCTAACCTACCATAATTAACCACCAACCTTCTTTTTTCTACAGTTATCCAAGCGAACAAACCTAAGCTAGCCAAAGAGTAATTTGGGCTAATCAGGTTAGTTGCCAGACACAAAATCTAGGTTACACCAACCTACATGTGTTAAGCTTAGCTAACCTAGTTATCCATTGCAAACAAAATGCAGCCATGCCACTTGTTCATGCATACAAGGGTACCATCCAGAATGTATGATAAACTCAGTAGCTAATTCTTGAGATAAACAGCTTTATAACTTTTAAGTGAACATCCCAAGTAAACCCCAAAAAATGCTATAAATACATGGGGGAAACTAGATACATAATAGACGAACAAGGTGCATACTCATAGACCCATATCTTTACAATTAACACAGAACGAGATCGGGCTGGACTAAAAACAGGCAAATGTTAAAGAGTAAGAGTACCTTTTGAATTACTCGGCATCCATACATCTGAAGGCTCAAAGGTACAACATGACCAGCAAGCTTGGCGGCAAGATCCCTTCTTTGCTCAGGAGTTCCATGTTCAAAAAACTGCAGAGATTACATGTCACTTTTTTGTACAACCAGCAGTTACCATGTGCGACAAAGTGATGCAGACAATTTGCTCCACATAACAGATAACCGGAGCATACCTTTTGGATCACATAATTCCCGAACACATCAGTCATTAAAGATGAAGCATGAGGAAGAACTTCTGCAAACACGGCTGCCTTCTCTTCAGCACTGCAGTTTTCCAATTTCTGCTGGATGAAACGGCTACCATGTTGGTCAGCGCTGAGGTCAAGAGCACATCACGCATTAGCGACCAAAACTGGTATTGGTGTATATATGCTTAGTTAGAAGTTAGAGTGATACATATGCTGAGATGCATGCCTAATAGAATGATAAATATGCTAAAATGCATATCAAATTAGAATGATAAATAATCAACACAACACAACTAACCTGAAATCTACTATGCGACCTGTGATATCAGATAGCTCAACCCTACGTGCTCTGTTGGACTTCAGTTCTTCCAGGAAAGTGCATGCCTTCGGGTTATCAAATTTCTCCCTTTCTCGCTGCCCTTGAAACCCAGAAACAGCAGTCATACTTCTTGAGGCGGACTGAAACCTCGCAGAATCATTTCTACCAGAGGGGGAAATTCCAGAGAAAGGTTGCCCCTGAAACACTGGGCTTGTTGGATAAGTCAATGGCGCTCCAACATAGGGTGAAATGCCATGATAATTTGGAACAGTTCCTCCTCTTAGGGTTGTAGGAGAATTAAAAATTCCAGTTTTTGGAAGTTGAAGCCTCTGATCAGATGGATATTGAGCTTGAGGAAATAACTTACGTGGATCAAAATTATCAGCAACATTTCCAAAAACACTACCCCTTGGAGCCAATGTATTGTATTGATTTCCACTAGCATACTGTGGAAAAGAGGGATGCTGAAAGAACTGAAAAAAGTTCGGGTCGGGAATAGTTGGCTGCATGGGAACCCCGAGTTGCCCATACATTTTATATGGCTGAACAAACTCGGTTCCTGCAGTAAGATTCCCTGCTGAAGGAAAACCAGATGGCCTACCACTAAAGCTTGGAGTCATAGGACTGTCGAGAGGTGTCGCAGCAGAACTCTGGGGAGAATAGCTAGTCATAACGGGTGGGAAACCTGAACCACCCAAAGCATACCCAGCAGTCACATAAGGATTTGCCAATACACTGGCTGGATGCAAATTCTGATAATATGGGCTTCCAAAAGAATGCGGTGTATAAAAGGGTGTTGGCATACCAAGTTGAGGTAAAAGTTGCTGCATGTCACCAGTGGGTAGTTTTAGCTGAGTATGAGACACGTTGTCAACAAAAGGAACATGGGGCAGATGTGCTCCATGAGGAGTCATTGGCATATGGTCGCCTTGGACTAGAGGTGAGAAGCCATACTGCTGCAAGAAATTGCCCTGCCACTGCTGCTTAACTTGTGACGTAGTCGGGCTATCCAAACTTAACTTCAAATTCTTCATGCTAGAGTCCACAACATCAAGTTTAGTAACAACTGCCCCACTGACAGGCACATCATTTCCAGGCTTCATGTCTATGCTCTGCTTTTCTTGCTGTTGCTCAGAAATTTGTACACTAGGGTTATTATCAGAACATGATGAACTGGGAACAGATGTAGATGAAAGATTGTTGCTAAGTGTACTTCTCAGTACACTGGCCAAAGGTACAGGTGTCCACGAATTTAACCCTGATGGCTTGACAACATCATGTGGCAAATTCCTTGATGAGTCAATATTAGAATGGACAGCTACGCCATCACCAA